CAGCTCCCTAGCCACATGAAGCACCAAAAGCCAGACAGATGCCATATCAAGGCAGTAGACCAGAGACATGAGATTCAAACGCCATGAGGAAGCTTCTTCCTTGCACGCACAGGCAGCATTCCCTTCCCGCACCCAGCCTCGCCTAGCTGATGCTGCAGCCATAAGACAATCAAGGGATGTCCATGAAAATGACTCTGGCCATATGAGTCATCATCCCTCCAGGTGCCACTGTCTTGCCCAGGATTACTAGATCTGATTGACCACCCCCCTTAGACTCTTCCCCCTTGAACCCAGGTCCAATCAGTATATTTTTGGGGATGGACTAATAGGAGGTGTGCCAAGGGATGTGGCCAGCCTAGCCCACCCCCTGCCACCTCATAAAAGAGGGCAACCCACCACGCTCTCTCTCTCTCCTATACCCATCCTAACTCCATGACTCTCGGTTGCGCAGCCAGAGTCTCCACGTGTCTCTGCTGGTTCAGGACACAATCCTATTACCTCATAGTCTCCCTTAATTTTCCTAAGGATCACTTCATCCCGCCAAGGACAGGTAAAGTATTGCCCCTCAACGATTATTCTGCTAATGCGAATGTGCTCTTCTCTCTAATTTTCCCAGATCTGTGTAATTGTGTGTGTGTTTGAATTATTGTATGCTTGTGAGATACTTTCAGAAAACGAAACCATTTTATACTGAAGCCAGCCTTTGAGTCTATTTCTGGTGCATGTGGAAGAAGTGGGACCCCTGTATACATAGGTGCTTGCTCCCTTATTTGCCTATTGCCTCGTGTAGTATCATAATTCCCCTAAAATCATCAATAATTTGAGGCAATCCGGCTAACAGCTGCACCTATTAGAAATTTTCCTTTTGATGTAATGTATACAATATTATTGTGCAATTAGCCAAACCAATGAAATTCTTGCAACTTCTCCTCATGACAACTCCAAACCTCTTTGCCTCAACACTGCTTACACCTTGACCCATAATTAAAAATTGATATAATGCAAACAGCAAATGAGACACTGTAATTAGGCATACTGTAATTTTTAAAGGACAGTTTTATTTAGCTTTTCCATGGTGGCTCACAACATGATTTAAACACACCGTAGGCCAAGGTGAATTGAAAAAATAAAGCATCCCTACAAACTTGCATAGCTTGATGAGCCAGTGTAGTATCACAGTTAAAGTATTGGACTGTGATTTGGTAGGCCCAGTTTCAGATCTGCACTCTACCATGGAAACCAGGATGGATTTGGGCCAGTCCCTCTCAACCGACCCTCTCAAGTTTGATGTTTTTGTGAGTATAAAATGGAGGGAGGAGAATGATGTTGTATGCCATTTTGAATTCCCATGTGGAGTAAAAGTAGGGCATAAATAATAAAATGAATAAATAGTAAGGGTGGTTGGAATCCCTCACCCCGTACATAAGCATGAAAGTGGAGAGACTTGAAAGCAGACTCACAAGCTGAATCCTCCCCTCTGTGCATGGAGGGGTACATACGAAGCTGCCTTATACTGAATCAGACCATTGAACCATCCAGGTCAAGAATGCCTACTTAAACTCAAAGTGGCTTTTCAGGGTCTCAGGTATACAGGTCTTTCATATCACCTATGCCGGAGATTGAACCTGCGACCTTCTGCGTGCCCACAGAGCCACGGTCCCTCCCCCCAAAGCAAAAAGGGTCTGCTGCTGCAGCGAAGTAGAACAAATAACACAGGCTGAAGTGGCCATCATCCAGTTGTCATGCCTGCCCTTGACTCAGCCCCAGATCCGACGAAAAGAAGCACGTTCAAGTGGGCGGAGATCCTTGAGCCCTGAGTTTTAACAGCAGCCAGGACCTCGCACAAAGGTGCTAATGGGTTAATGAGCTAGAGCACTATTTAGTAGGGCCTCTGGCCATGAGCAATTTGTGCTGGCAACCTTGTTCGTAGAACCAGAAGCTCTGCACCTTGATTCCTGTTTGACTCTGTGGCTTTTTGGACTCGGCTTGTGTTTGTGGACTTCTGCTCTGGCTCCTGACTCCCAGCTTTGAATCTGACGATGCTCTTGGCTTTGCTCTCTGGTAATGTTTGACTACGGCGGTGTCTGGTGTTTTGGGACTTAACGCTCTGCTGACTGCTCTCCTGGCTGACCCTCGGACTTGTCTTGTGACCCACCCTCCCAGCCTGACTCCCTGGCTCTACCGTGACACCAGAAGCCTGCACATGCAATTTATCTGCCTTAGAACTAATGTAGACTCCTTGTTCTGAAAGATTTTAATGTGTTTTAAATGAATATCCAAAGACGGGATACGCAGATGACTGCAGCAGCTCCTTCCTTAATTAGAAAACTCACGAGGTGCGGAATTCTTTTCTCAGATCACAGAAGTAGCAGTAGCACACATCTTCTTGTGTATCACCACTGCAGGCATTACATCCCTCATCCCTGCAAACTATTTGTGTGAGCAGTCTGCAGTGCCATTCCAAATACAGTCACACAGTTCTAAGCCAGCTGACTTCAATGGACTTGGAACAGTCTCATTCTTAGTATTACACAGTTGGAAACAGGAGGCCACACAGTTCTAAGCCAATTGACTTCAATGGACTTGGAACGGTCTCACTCTTAGTATTACACAGTTGGAAACAGGAGTGATAGAGCTCGCATCATCTGCACTGGTGGTTGAAAAGGAATTTTATGGCTGGAGTTTCCTGCAGACTGGGTGTCAGTAGGAACATCCCAGCTCTTACATGTCTTCCTTCCACATGTGAGCTGCTTATGGCCTATGAGGGTGAATGATGGGGAATCCCTGCAGGCACCTTTGGAATTCTGACACGGAGTGGTTGGTGCAACTACAAGAGGTAGAGCCAAGCACAAAATGTCAGGGGGTTACATCAGACATAACTCCAGCAGTAACTCCTCAACATTTCAGGAAGAAGCTGTGCTTGACAGGATGTGTTTTAAAATGACCACGTTGTTTAAAAATATTTTCTTGTCTACGTCTTCAGTGATGCAGTGAAGATCCTTGTGGTGGCAGCTGCTGGCAAATCAAGACTTCGAAGCATCTGCACAGTCAATCATATCTTCAGGGGCCAGCCAGAAGCCCTGCTGGGCAACAGCCCCACCTGGCCCCCTCCACTTGCGCACAACGTTTGGCATGTGCCAGGAAAGGTGTCAGCGGGCACTGTGCTTGGAGGAACCCCAAATTTAAATCATCCCTTAGCTTCTCTTCCATAAAACATGCCCCAAGCCGTTTACAACTATATAAAACTATAAAACAAGTAATAGTAAGAAATAAAATAAGTATTCTCTTAACAGTCCATGCTGTATTTGGACTTAAGAAACAATGGCTACGGTCACACACGCTAAATAATCCGCTTTCAGTGCACTTTCCAACTGGATTATTACTGTGTGAACTGTTAACTGTTATCTACTGTGGGACCTTGTAGATAAAAAGAAGAGAGAAATTTCCCCTCTTCTACCAAAATATGAAGAATCCAGGGACACTGAAGGCAACAGAAGTGAAATAAAGCCAGGGCTGCCAACCTCCAGCTGGAGCCTGGAGGTTTCCCAGAATCACAACCGAGATCAGTTCCTCTGAAAGAAATGGCTACTTTGGGAGGTGGACTCTATGGTGTTATTACTTCACTGAGCTCCCTCCCCTTCCTAGGCTCCATCCCCACATCTTCAGGATTTTCAAAACCTGGGGTTAGCATCCCTACACACAATGCATAATTTAACTTGTGGAACTCAATGGCATTAACCATTAGTGTAGGTCGTTTTGAAAACTATACAAATTCAGGGAAAATGGCTTTTTAGCCATGACAGCTCAATGGAATCTCCATGTCTAGAGGCACTCTGTCCCTGAATATCCATTGCTGGAAGGCAATAGCACGTGGCCTCTGTTGTGCTTGTTGTTCTGTCTTTGTCATTCCACTTCTGTATTGTGTGCAGTATTACTTGGCCTCAGGCACTTTGTTGCTTGCCTCGTCTTCTAATTAGGCAATCCCACTCCTATAGCATTGTTCATCGAATGCCTTGTGCTTTACAATTGCATTGCTTTTTATTCTGTAATCCACCTTGAGTCCCAGTGGAAAAGGTGTGCTATAAATAAAATAATAACTTGTGGGATTTTTGGTTGGCCATTGTGAAGACAGGACTATGGAGAATCAAGACAGACCGTTACTCTGATCGAGCTTGTTCCTAGGACCTTTCCCAGAGTACAGTATCCGAGATTTTGATATATTTTTTTAAGATTTCAACTGGCACTTTATGGATGCCAAGCATGCGCTTCCTGCCAAACTCTGCCGTCTCCTGCTGGAGGAGATATTGCAAAAACGTGCACAGAAGTAACTCGATCTTTCGTACTGTAGCGATAAGGGGAAGGGGAGAAAAATCACTGAATAATGCATTAATGCGCTTTTACATTTTCTCCTCCTACCGTTAGAGGCTATCGAGCCGTGATTTGATCGCGGCTATCGGGCCAGGTCAACAGGCTCGGTTTAAATCCGCCGCTGGCTGATATCTGAACATAGTTTTAAAAAGAGGCTTCCCACCCACCGCGATCCCACCCACGTTGCTACGAGATCAGCTAAGGGAATCGTGCCTATTGAGAAATACTTCTCGTCTTCATAGGCAGCAACGCCACGGAAGCTGCCTGCCAACACAGTTCGATCCTTGCCACGTTTACTCGGAAGTAAGTTCCATGCAGTAAAGTGGGAATTACTCCTTGCTAAAAGTGTTTACGGCGGCAGACTTGCACTCGGAAGTCAATCCCACGGCGTTAATGGCAATTACCCTCAAGGCGGAACTACTTGGCGCTTTCAGGTGGTTGCGTGGGGAACCCTGGAATTCTCCCTCGCCCGCGCTGCTCCGGCAGCTACCGTCCCGTTTGCCCTCCCCCCAGGATCCTGGCTTCGTTTCCCTGTCCCTGTCCCCTGGGATGACCGAGCCGTAAACAAGGATTGAGGGCAGGCCTGCAACTTCGGCTGCTGTAGCTGAGCATGCTCAAGCTCCACCCGCCGCGGCCTCTACTGCCGGTGCGCCGGAGGAGGGACCGCCCGGAGAAACGGAAGGCAGAGGCATGCGTGCGGCCGTCGGCTTGAGTTGGCTGCTGCGCCTGCCTCGGGCGGCTCAGCTTTGCAGCGCTTCGTGCAGGAAGGAGCCACCATCGCGGCTTCTGCAGCCCTGGCCGCCCGGCTGCCGCTGGCTCCACGGCGGCCTCATGGCTCAGTACGGCACGGAGCAGCGGGGGCAACTCCATTCGCCCGAGTCCCGCCTCTATTTTAGTAAGTAGCCACCCGAGAGGCCCCCGTGCGGTGCAGACGACGTCGGAACGCAGCGGGCTCCTGGGCTACGTCCTCAAATAGCGCTCTAGAACGGTGCTTGCGAAGCCCCGCCCCTTCCCTTTGATCGTTGCAATTTAAAGGACACAGGAGCCGCCTGGTGTGCTTAGATCAAAGACTGGCTTGATACGATGCGGGAGGTCCTGCCCTGGCCCACCTTAGGACGTCTCCGAGTTAGCAATAGGCAGATTTCCGCTGAGAAATAAATGCGGTGCAAGTTCAGTGTTCAGTATTAGCTGTTCAGCCGACCCTGGGAATTCCATGGCAGGCTTCCAGATGGTAAAAGTTCCTTCTGTAGTCCATGAACTCAGCGCGTGGGACCACAGCACACGTGTGCAAATAGACGTCGGGTTGCCGGCCGCGGGTGGTGGTGGTGGTGGTTGGTCTATCAGAATCACAACTGATCTCCGGACAACAGACATCGGTTCCCCCTGGAGAAAGTGGCTGCCTTTGACAGTGGACTGAAGAGCACGATATCCCCCTGAGGTCCCTCTGCTCCCCAGGCTCCGCCCCAGATCTCCAGGAATTTCCTAACCTGGCGTTGGCTGTACACCAGGAGGGATCCTACTAGTGAGCAGGATGGGAACCCATGGGGGATCCCAGTGGATCAGAGGCACAGTCACTTGCAGGCGTGCAGACTCCACATCTGGTTGTAGGCAGATTCTTTAATGGGAGTGACTTCTGGGATGGGATTTCATCATGTGTGAAAGCAGTCATTAAAGCTAGGCACTGCAAATATGCTTTCTTTTTCTCATTTTCTGTACTGGCACCCTGACAGCTTGGCAGACCATGCTGTTTTATACTCTGTGCCTAATCAGATGGATAGTTTGGTTCTGTCGATAAAATTGCTATGGGGGGGGGGGAATTGCTATGCAGTTTGAACTGATGCATGTTGTATTCTGAGTATGGATAGTTGAAGTGTATATTACGTAATGCCCACCCTTCCTTCACTATTGCAAACTCTCCACAGGTAGTAGGAGGCTACAAGTCAACTAGGGTATTAGGAAACCTCACCTAGGGTTGCCGGGTCTCTGGAGACATCCCAACAACCCGCTTTGTGTCAAGGGAAAGGGCCGCACCCTGATGTCACTGCTGGTGCAAATTGGAAGTTACTTGGAAGTTACATCATGGAATGCTCTAGAAGTTGCCAAAACTATATAGTGTTGTTGGCACACGTCCCTGCCCACTAAATGCTTCCAGGGGATGCTGACAGCCATCTGGCAAACCTAAGTGCATGTTTTAAGTATCAAGTTCCATGATGTAAGAGGTATAAAGCTCTGGTTTCCTAACCAGAATTCCTAATAATGAATTTTGCTTCTTATAGCAATATCTGAACAGGTCCCAACATTTATTGCTGTGGTACTGGGGACCCTTGGGGGATTGTGGTTGGAAGGGGTCTGCATATCCATCCAGCCTGGGCAGGTTTCTGACTTCCCCCACCTATGCCTTTCCTGTACCACTGGCCCCTCCCTGGGTGCCATGGCCCCCCAACTCTGTTTCACTCCAGGTGGGCTTTATCTGCCATTTTGCTTGCCACCGTGTGGCTGTGCCTCCCCTAATGGGTCTGCCTTCTGTGGACCAATGTTCCCTCTAAGCTGTAGAGTCTTGTGAGCAAAAATTCTACTTTGTGAGCTACTGGCATTAAAGTTGTGAGCGAGCAATTTGGTCACTGCATAAATGAGTTTGCACTGGAGCCATCCTTCTTGAGCTAGGACAAAAATGTGTGAGCTGTAGGCTAAAAAACTGTGAGCTAGCTCACACTAACTCAGCTTAGAGGGAACACTGCTGTGGACCCCCCATCCAGACAGGCAGTATCAGCCCAGTCAAGCTTGCTTACATACTAGTGAGGAGGATCAATCCTGATGAGAGAACAATAGAACATAAGAGAAGTCAATGTTGGATCAGGCCAAAGGCCCATCCAGTCCAACACTCTGTTGCACAGTGACCAAAAATACCAGGTGCCATCAGGAGGTCCATCAGTGGGGCCAGGACACTAGAAGCCATCCCACTGTTGGCCCCCCCCCCCCGAGCACCAAGATTACAGTGCATCACTTGCCCCAGACCGAGAATTCCTATCTATACCTTGTGACTAATAGACATTGATGGAGCTCTGCTCCATGCATTTATCCAATTCCCTCTTGTAGCCGCCACCACCTCCTGTGGCAGTGAATTCCATGTGTTAATCATTCCTTGGGTGAAGAAGTACTTTGATGGAGGCTTTCATGGAGCCTGTTGTTATCCATTGCCCACCCCCTCCTGTCCCCAGTGACATCTGGAAATGCCCATGCCTTGGGCTGCAGCACTTTAGGAGCTGCTGTTTGGCTGACTGCTTCTTTGTGGCCTGTCAGTTGGCTTCCCTGGCCCTTCCCACATCTCTGCCAGCCCAGACTGCATCAGACAGCTGTCAGGGGCCAGGAGCTTCACTGGGACATGGTGTCCCTATGTTGACCAGCCCAGTCAGTCTGTGTATGTGAAGTGGGGCTGCCATTAAAGACTGTCTGGAAGCTGTAATTGGTACAGGATGCTGTGACCAGAGCGTTGACTGGTGTGGGTTGTAAGGACCATATCACTCTAGTTTTGTTCCATCTACACTGGGTTCCAGTTTTCTTTTGGGCTCAATTCAAGGTGCTGGTATTGACCTTTAAAACCCTGTGTGGCCAAAGACCACCATACCTTACGGCCCACCTCCCATATGAACTGTCCTGTTCAAGTCTGGTCATTCTCAGAGGCCCTGCTTTGGCTGCCCCCACCATCTGAGGCTCTGCAGGTGGCAACCCAAGAAAGGGGCTTCTCCATCACGGCGCCAAAACCTTGGAACTCCCTCCTTTTGGAATTCCCTCTGTTGGGGTCTTTCCAGTGGGTGAAGACTTTTTTTTGTTTTGGTTGGCATACCCGTAGTAACAGTTCTTGGCCCTCCTCCCTGATTCTGGTATTGTTTTTTATTGAATTATTTTATCATTTTAAATTCAGGTGGGTAGATGTGTTGGTCTGAAGCAGAGGAACAAAGTTTGAGTCCAGTGGCCCCTTTAAGACTAACAAAGTTATATTCAGGGTATAAGCTTTCGTGTGTATGCACACAAACGCTTATACTTTGAATGAAACTTTGTTGGTCTTAAAGGTGCCACTGGACTGAAACTTTGTCTATCATTTTAAATGTTATTGTTAATTTTTCAGATGTTTTAACGCTTCTCTGTGTGCCGCTTTGAGGACCCTGACTGGGTGCAAAGGCGGCATGAAAATGTTGTAAACAAAACAAAGAGAATTAATACCTGAGCTGTGACTCAAATAAAGTTTATGCTGGAATAAATTGTGGTACTTGTCAACGTGCCACTGGACTTCTCCTTTATTTTTGTCACCTAAATTAGTAATCACTACATTATCAGCTGTGGAACAGATCTGCCATTCAACACATGTGCCCAGAGATTTCTGAGAGCATATTCAGAGATGAGGTCCCCGCTCTCAAGGGCCATCGCTGAGATGGGGGTGGGGGGAGAGCAGCCATCCATCCCTTCATCATGCGTGGGCCCAGCACAATTAAGAATTCTCCCCACAAGGAACATTTTGTGTTGCACTTCAATTATTATTTGCATTTGATTCTGATACGTGTGAGCTTCTTTGGGAGCCAGCTTACCACTGAAAAGCAGGGTTAAAATAGAAATAAATTCACCGTTTGTGCTGTCAAGGACTGAAAGCTCATTGGGCATCCAAGTGAATTCCCGTGAGTACAGGCTGACTGTTAACTGTGTTAGCCAAAATGTCATCCTAGGCAGCTACTCCAGTAACTCTAAACTATACAAATATACAAGATTTCTTATATCTGTACCACTTACCCTTCCACCAGAGTTCCAATCTCTGAAAGCCACAAAACAGCACCAGCCATCTCAGTTCGGTGTAGTGTTTAAGTGCATGGTCTCTAATCTGGGAGAACCAGGTTTGATTCCTCACTCCTCTACTTGCAGCTGCTGGATGACCTTGGGCAAGCCATAGTTCTGTCAGAGTTGTTCTCTCAGCCTCACCTACCTCACAGGGTCTCTGTTGTGGGGAGGGGAATGGAAAGGAGATTGTAAACTGCTCTGAGACTGAGTGAAGGGCAGGGTATAAATCCAATCTCCACCTCCTCCTCCATGACTCAGTATAGTAAATAGCCCTGGCCTGGATAGCCCAGGTTAGCTTGATCTTGTCAGATCTTTTAGAAGAAGAAGAAGAGATTGGATTTATATCCCACCCTTCACTACCCAAAGGAGTCTCAGAGCAGTTTACAAACTCCTTTCCTTTCCCCTCCCCACAGACACCCTGTGAGGTAGGTGGGGCTGAGAGAGCTCTTGACAGAAACTGCTCTTTTTCAAGGACAGCTCTTATCAGAACTATGGCTTGCCCAAGGTCATCCAGCCAGGTGCAAGGGGAGGAGTGGGGAATCAAACCTGGTTCTCCCAGATTAGAGTCCGTGCACTTAACCACTACACCAAACTGGCTCTCACTTTTAGTATTTGGATGGGAGATCACCTAGTAAGTTGAGGGAGGCAATGGCAAACCACCTCTTGCCTTGACAACCCTATGGGGTCACCATAAGTTGGCTGCGATGTGATGGCACTTTCTGCCACCAATAAATAAGCAAATGTGACTTCTGTAGACCAAATAAATGATATGTCTAGCACATTTGCATATTACTGTGTTTCAAACATATGTAGATGCTGTTGTGATTAGTAATATACAAATTCATTTAAAAGTGTTACCTGAATTCAGAGTAGCTTCTTTGTCATGTGGGGGTCTGAAATTTTCTGATGTTAAAAGTGTTCAGAACCACTGAAACAGGGTGTGTGGGGTGGGCCCTCAGTCTTTTACCCAGGGAATGAGCTCAGTCCCCCTCCATCCCTTTTTTGGCTATATCTCTAAAAATCCTGGTATTGAGACAGTATATTGGAGAAAGAGCAAAGATCTATTTTGCATGTATCGTATTCTGATGGCAGAGTAGGAAAACAGGAACGTGAAATTTATAGGAAGCTAAAAAAAATCCAATTTTGGTTTTCTCCAACACTGTAAGTTTTTATTAACCTTTGTGTTTTGACTGGGGTTTATTGTAGTTACTTGTGTATTTTTGATAAGTAAATAGTATTTGTATTGAAATAACCTGCATATCTCAGTGTTTGTTGAGATGCACATAGATGCCATACATATTGTTACTCTGTGTTTGCTTATATATTTATATATATTTCATTTTGTAGAGAATTCAAAGGGAAAATATATTTCCCCCTTCCATGATATTCCTCTGTTTGCTGGACCAAATGAGGTAAATATGTACATAGTGTTCTTATTTATTGAAGTTTTGGGGAAAGGAAGTCTATAGGGGGTTGGCATCCAACATTAATCTTGCACCTTTAGCTGACTGGCACTATAGCCATATACGTTTAAGGGTCAGTAATTATTATGTCCATCCTAAGATTATGTCCATCCATGTGATTTGTTCCATGTTGCAAGCAGTCATACCTTATTGAGTTTCATTGATTCAGGTTCATTCACTTCTGAGCTGTGGTTGTCAAACTTGCTGAGGTCAGGAGTTCTCATTACCCTCTCAAGACTCATTTCATAAAGCAAAATTCCCAGCCATCTTTAACATATTGCATCAATTGCACTCTTGAGTCAAAACTTTGAACTAGCTTTTGTGAGTGGTATCTTAATCCTTGTGGGGCTCTCCTTTCTTATGTTGTGTGTGTAATCTCCATTGAACTGTGTTAAATGCACAAAGCAAGTCACACCCCTTCTCTGTGTGCTCTTGCCTAGGAATGTGAAAAGTGCCTTGCTGGGCCAGACCAAGATCCAGCTAGTATAGCATTCTTTACTTGATGCAGTCTGATAGTAACAGAATGGCAAACTCTTTTATAGCCCTTGAGCAAGGAGACGGCACAGGTGCCACACAATGCTTACGGTCCGGACTGATAGTTTATTGTTTTAAGTATTTTCAACAACGTTTTTCTTTCCATGCTTTTGTGGGGGAGGGCAAAGCGGTTTACGAAATACAGTTTAAATAAGCAAATAATATAATATGCCACTTCGTGGACTGGTTCTGGATTTCCTGACCTGACCTTTTCAGAGCTGTGGACCAAGAGTCTTTTGGCTTGTGCCTCTGGCCCAGCCCAGGGTTTTAATACCTGTAACAGGAAGGAAAACAAGCTTGGCCAAGGTGTCATGCACCTGCAAGAGATGTCCCCAAGAGATGTCCTCTGCTAAAGGCTAATGATTGTGTGAATTAGCTCTACACAGAAAGATTGAGACTCCGTTTAAAACAAGCTCTTCCGCATTCTGATTTCCATCACTTGTGTGTTCCTATTGCTTCAGGGTTCCCCCCCCCCATGTGTTTTGCTGTCTCTAGTAGTCCCAGAGGGAGCAAAACACATGTGGAAAAGGGGGGGGGGCAAAGCACTAGGGACAAATGAGTGACAAAAATGAGAATGCGGAAGAGCCCAAAAATAATGTGTGTACTTCAAGAGGACTAGATGTTCCAGTTTCCCTCTGGGTGTGTGAACACACATTTTAAGGCATATACAAAAAGAGGAGATAAGACCCTGTAACATGTGTTCATACCACATCCATTCATTTGGTAATCTTAGCTGTCTTCTGATATAAACTTGATGTCTGACCAGGATCTGCTCAAGTGAAGCTGTGTTACCTGGTGGGTTTGCTCCCCAGGAAATATTTGCAGCTCTTTTGCGTTTCAGATAATCAGGGTAATCACATCTATTGGGCTGCGAATACTCCTGCTGTTCTTAATGCTGTTCTGACTTATTGCTGTCTCAGCCTCAGTGTGAACATATTTTTTGCATAGTTATGAAGTTGCTCATTAGAGGAGCTGTGGAACCAGGCAGTTAGAATTTGTTGGCTGTTTTGTGAGAGTCAATATGTTTGTGCTATAGGCACAAAGTCTCCAGGTTCAGCTTCGCTTAAAAAAAAAAAAGTTCCTGCAAAAAAATTAAACTGCCGAGATGGAGCCTAGACTTCTCCTGGAATTACAACTGATCTTCAAACTACAGAGATCAGTTCCTCTCAGGAAAATGGCAGCTTTGGAGGGTGAACTCCATCTCACATCCCTGTTGAGCTCTCTCCCTTTCCCAGGCTCCACATCTCCAGGAATTTCACACCCCAGAGCTGCAGCCGTACTTGGAGAGTCCATGCCAGTCAAAATAGACAATACTGGGCTTTGATAGGTCTGATTCAATAAAAGGTAGTTTCATATATCTCACAGATAGACTGTGAGGAAACAACTTGTTTATGAAAGTACCTGCAGCTGTGAGGATGGAATGTGTTGTTCCTGTTTGGTTCAAACACAGGGGCTACACTTGGGAGTAATGATGAGCTCTGGCTGCGGTTACTAGAGCAAACCTTGGAAGTCCTTGGTCTTCTGCGCTCCCTTCCCCTCTCGCATGCAACTTGAAACAGTTCCTGGTTAACAGCAAACCACTATTTGTTGTTATGTCCAGAATACAGCCAGTTTGTTCCTTTGCTTCCTTGAAACAGGAAGTCTTGGATTCCGGATGATTTCCAAGACTCATTTCATAACAGCAAAGCACAATCTTGCCTTTACAGCTGAATTTCACCCAGGGAGAAACTTTATATTTGAACTAGTTATTAGCAGGATTTCCAAGATTAAGAGGGTACATGTCATGTGCTTCCGAGAAGCAGCATATCTTTGGCTGTAAAGTACAAGAGGTGTGCACACGTTTGGGGGCAAGCTCCACGGAACTCATGGGGTTTACTTCTAAGCAAAGATATGTAGGGCAGGGTTGTATGTCTCTTTGTGGATTGGGTAGGAAAAGGACTTAGTTGTGCACTTAAAGATTAATGTTCATGGGAATTAAGCAGCCTGAGCCCTGTGCATCAAGTCAGAGGGTAGCTGTGTTGGTCTGCAGTAGAATAGCTAGATTCAAGTCCGGTAGCACCTTAGTGACCAGCAAGATTTGGGGGGGGGGAGCGGTATATGCTTTTGAGACTCCAAAGGGAGCTTTGACTCTCAAAAGCTTATGCCCCCCCCCCAAATCTTGTTGGTCTCTAAGGTGCTACTGAACTCGAATCTACCTGAAACCTGTGCATGTTTATCTAGAAGTGACTTCCACTGGGTTCCCTGGATTCTACTCCCATGTAATAACTGCCAGCTTAATTTTCACTGCTTGAGCCTGATGCCACTTTAGCAACAATTCAGTTCTAGTGTTTTCTTACTTTGGTGCCATTGTTAATAGTCTCCTTTACGTTAAGAAGCATGTAACCACTGTTTTTTTTGGTTTTTTTACTTATGTACAGGAAAAGGAGAGTCCTGCAAAAAGAATGAAGCTCGGTGGAAGCTCGGTATGGTTATATCTTGAGATTACTTTACTGTGCCAGATGGGCTTGGGTAGAACAATCTGGATAGGATGGAACATTTGAGTTCAGAGCAGCTGTCTGTTTGAAGTTCTCTTAAGAGGTGATTGGTTTCTTGCATTGGAACTGGGGCTGAGTATGTAAGGGCCTAAGCTGGGATGACATTTCACCATCACCTAGGAGCCAAGGGGATAATGGGCATTGCTTTATCTGTAGGGTTGCCAACTTCCACGTGGTGGCTGGAGATCTCCTGGGATTACAACTGATCTCCAGGTGTCAGAGATCAGTTCCCCCGATGAAAACGGCCATTTTGGAAGGTGGATTCCGTGGCATTATACCCCATTAAAGTCCCTCCCCTCACCAAAATCTCCAGGTATTTCCCAACCCAGTGCTGGCAACCCTTGTTATCTGAGTGTGTCCTGCACAATTGCCACAGCTGTCATTTCCCACAACCACCACCACCATTCCATGTGTGCTTCCCAGACTCTGCTGTCATGCGGAGATTCCTTGGGTTGGGATGAGGAAAGAAGAGGCTGGAGCAGAGAGCAGGGAAGGTGGGAATGAAGGTGGGTATAAGGACTGCTTCCCCTTCAAGGTCACCTCATAGCATGATATGGGAGATGAGGACAGGAAAGGTAAGAAGACAGTAGTGGTTGCTGTAATTGCTTTTGTTAAGCTCCTCTGCTGTTGTCACACTATTGTAGCAGTGGAGGAGGAAGCATTCAGCAAAGGTAATACTAATGACAATGGGACTTTGGCCCCTCAGCTGCTAATTGATGGTGCGTTCCTCAGAGGCAGTGGGTCTAAGACTACCTAGCTGAACATGACATTTAACCAGGAATGTACATGTATACAATAATGGTTTAGGTCTGGGGTGTCAAACATGTGGGCTGCGGGCCAGATCCAGCCCGAGCAGGGCTCCTATCTGGCCCTTGAGCAACTGGCTCTCTCCTGCTTCCTTCTCCAGCTCTGCTACTGCTGCATTGCATCTTGCTTTGCCGGACTCTCTCAATTGCACAGGAGACATAGATAGGCAAACTTCTGTTCTCTGCACTGGTTGAGGCTTCTCCCCCTTCTCCTTCCAGGGGGAGGGAGGGAATGAGCCAGAGCTTGCTTTCTGGCAGGCTCCCTCAATCGCACAGGAGACAAAGGCAAGCCTTTCTTTCCTTCCTTTGGCTGAGGCTCCTCCCCTTTCTCCCCTTTGCTTGGCTTCCTCAATTGCACAGGAAAAATACAAGGCACCTTTAAGACGAACAAAGTTCTATTCAAGGTATGAGCTTTTGTGTGTTCTGCTACAGTGTGTATGTATTTTGTTGAGTTCATTATGCTATGTGTATGTTTTGTTGGACTCATTATGCTGTGGCTCTCCTGGGTTCAACTGGGTTTGCTTCCCCTTTATCACTGTATTCATGCCCTCATGATCCAGTCTTTCTCAGTAGGGAAGCAATGTGAACTATTTATATGAGGAATAACAACAAGCCAGTGAGGTGGATTAGGCTGAGAGTGTGTGTCCAGACCAAGTTCACCCAGCACAGTTCCTTTGTAGACTGGGAATTTTGAACCTAGACTCACCAGATAGCAGGCTGATAACTGACCACTATACATGGCTGTCTGTCTATTTTTACACTGCCTCATAGGAGTTGCAGTTATTGTTCTGGGAAAACTATAGTTTTGTAGACCAGCACATAGCCCTCACTTTGTTTCATGATGCATTCACATCTTCTTGACCAGTACAGGAAGCAATGTATGTACAAAAGCTCACAGTGCCCAGCCATTTTATGTTTCCCCCTGATTCCTAGGCTCAGAGCACTGACCATGAGATTTCTGTAATGAATGTAAATAAATCAAAAGTAGGTTTGCAGTTCACAGATACACACCTGAACAAGCATACTCAAGATTGCTACAGCACAGACATTTTGATGCAATAATTCAGAGAAAGAGGTGTCAGTTTGTTAAATAAACAAAATATTGCAAGAGTGCTAATGTTTTATGCATGTTTTTATTTTAAGTTTAAAAAATCCTTAATTGTGTTTGTTTGTGTCCTTTATAAAGCTTATATCTCCACTACCTGGCATTACATTTTATGGCACACATGGCCCGGCCCGACAAGGTCTCATTTATGTCAGATCTGGCCCTCATAACAAATGAGTTTGACACCCCTGGTTTAGGCCCTGAGAAAGCTAGGATTGCATATGCTTGTAGCTAGTACCCAATTAAAAACTGACACACTTCACCCAGATACATAGTAAGGACTGCCATTGCTTCATATGAGTGCTTAATAGCTTATATTTCAATGGACCCCGGTATCAAGACCCAAACTCTGTTATCTGAAACCTCTTGGGTAACATTCTGTCATCTGTGGTTTTTGGTTTCTCCCTGTCGTTGGTCAACGACAAGAAAATCCAGTTTTTGTCATCTGTCTATAGTTTCTATTTGAAAGACAAATAATTGCTATATGCTTTTGTCTGCAGCTTTGTTATCAGGCAAGCTGATCCCAGAATTCCCCCTCTCCCCCCCCCCCCCCCCCCCCATAAATGAAACCATCAACTCAGTGTGCAGTGGCAGTGAAAAAGGCTCATTCCGTGCTAGGGATTATTAGGAAAGCAATTGAAAATAAACTGCTCCGCATTGTAACTCCATTATATAAATATTTGGTACCAGCTGTGTTTGATATATTCAGCTCAGTCCTGGTCTCTCCATCTCCAAAAAAATACTGCAGAGCAGAAAAAGAGCTACCAAAACGATCACCTTTCCTGTGAGGGAAGTTTTTAGGGCCTCTTAGATGACTAAGGGAGGATACTAGAGAAGACCATAATATTTTGTGTGTGCGTGCGTGCAGTGAAGAAAATGAATGGAATTTTCTCCCTCTTCCATAACCCTAAAACTTGGCTCCCAGTGAAATTGATTGTTTATTTATTTATTAGTTCAATGTATACCCCACCCTCCCCGCCAAAGCAAGCTCAGGGCAGCTTACATAAAAGATTCAGGGCAGACAAAGTACTGCCTCAGATATAACGTAATTAATGTATGGAGTCACTACCACAAAAAGTGTCTAACTTAGCCAGTATGGAAACGACCTGTTAGGTCTGGATTGTGAGCTATTTGGAAGCAGGGTTTTCCCCCCCTTCTCCACATAACTTTGTGGTGCATACCTTCTGACTTTCCCCTGGTTTTTTGGCATTCTTTCCAACCTGCTTTTACTATGGTCTTTTGGGGAGGTCATAGCAAAGACAAGGAAACTGCCACATAGATGGGGAAGTCTACATCTTTCCCAGTTTCAGCCACATTGGTACCATTTTTCCTGCCCCAGTCCCTTGCAATGGCCATTCCCCATACTACCACCATTTTTTGCCTATTGCTAGATTACTATATCTTCCCAGTGATCTGTCTACTAAGCTCTCTGAATTCCCAGGTTTCACTTAAAAACAAAACAAAACACCTACATCTTTTCCCTGTTTTCACTGCAGAGATATAAAGGGGAAAGGTGCAACAAAAAGGGCTAAAGACTTACTTTTTTGAAGACAAAAAAAAAAGAAAAGAAAAGAAAACTGGGAGCAATGTCTATTGACCATGAAAGCATATCTGTGGGAAGAGGTCAATAAAATGTGATAATTTTGATGAAAGCGTTCATACATGCTGAGGGTCATCAACTAGACTTCTAGTATATATGTCCCTGGACCAAATCTGATGCACTGAGAGATGGCTTTTGGTACTTGCTAACCCAGGATTGATATAGATGGCTTTCTTGACACTGTGTTATTCAACATCTCCTCCCTGATGATTTCAAAGCCAGACTGGGTACTAGAATTGCAGTAAAAAATTACCTAGCCTACACAAACACTTGATTTGTGTATTTCTAATACAGAAACAGGCACAACCAGATGCAGACATGAAGTTATTTGTTGAAATAATAATTAGCCAATTCATGTGAGCAAAAGCTGGGTGCTTGGATGAAACATATGCAAGTGCTCTGTTTTATATACAAAAAACCAAAGTATTTTTTCAACAGCAGGGAGAGCAATAGTGTAAGCTGTAGGCACAGCGATGTAGTAAAACAGATTTATTAGTAGTAACAGAGAATCACATGACATTGAAACTGAAAAGGAAAGCAGGTATTTTGAAAACCTGTTAGAAAAGCAAACAGTCCTTGTATTAGGATGGTAAAAAGGAATTACACAGATTGCCTTATTGCTAATACTTGGTTCAAACATACCATGATTTGGTATGTGAATGAGCTTCAGAATTGTTTGTGCGTTCCTATCTTCACCACTTTTGTCGTTCACGCATGGCATGAAAATTGTTTAATCCAGGAAACTATGACTTATACTTTTCCAGCAAACAGAATTTCAAACTGGTTGCAAGCCATGCTCCCCAACGGTTTGCTGAGAACAGTGAATTATCTTGTCATATGACAAGATGCAAACAAGTCCTCCTGTGTTCTTTCACTAGCTTATTGATGTAGTAGCAAATCATGCTTTGTGGTTGGATCTGATTCAAACTTGACAATTGTTGTTGAGGCCATTTCACTGGGTCTGAGATGGTGCAGAGCATATGAGCATATGTTCATTAGGAACATAAGAGGATCCCTGCTGGATCAGAGCACTGGCTAGTCCAGCATTGTTTCTCCCACAGTGGCCAGATGATTTTTCTGCAGAAATAACAGCATATAGAAGCTAAGGCCTTCCCTTGATGTTGCTTCCTGGCAATGTTATTCTGAGGTTTACTGCTTCTGAACATGGAGGTTCCCTTTGTCGTGAAGCAGCTGCAGCTGTATGTCGCTTTGTTGAGACTGTGAGAGGAAGCCAGAAAACTGAGCTTTTCATGGGACATCGAATCCTGATCTTTGGTAGTAAAAACATTCAAGGTTGGGCAGAAAGTATACCCCTCGCTCATCCATCAGATCAATTGATCTGCAGAAATTCACTGTGGAAACTTGCACTCGCAGAGTAATGCTAATGAAGGTAATTTGAATTATTAAGCAACGGGTGATTAGCTAGAAGCAAAAAGGCTATGGTAGCTATTTTTCATTGCGCAGGGTAATCGGACAGTAATGATGAAATTAATATACAGCGTTTATAGGACACTTAACATTAATGGCAACAATTAAGCAGATAGGAAGGAAGTGATGAGAAGAATGCTATATATTTGCTGTCATGGTGACAGCCAATTAATAAACATAGGCTGACTCTAGAATGTGCCTTTGGACTCTTTAAAATGGTTGCCAGTTAATGTTAGGCTGGCCATTAGCTATCATGATTCATATAAGCCATGTTTATCAGGGGCTTAAAGGCAGTTGGTGGGAAGGGCTAAATTTTGTGTTGAATCAAGATGATCTGGTCAGATTCCTTGAGTTTTTAGCTTGATCGACAATGTCTGTGGGTTTTATGGTCTGTGAGAGGAATCGTGTGTGAGTGTGGTTATGACCCCTTATGAGGGAAAGGGTTTACTGAGGGGAGGTAACATTCCCCCCCCCACACACACACACATGTATTTTGGTCCTTCACCTTTCCCTCTGAGACTTAGTTTGCCTCACAATATCTGGCTTTGCTGAGGCTGATGGCAAGTTCTGAAAATGATGGTTGTTAACTGCAGATGTTAACAAGGGGTTAGATAGATTAATGGAGGAGAGGTCCATCAGTGGCAGCTAGCCCCACAGACTGAAGGGAGCCTCCATCTATAGAGGCAGCAAACTTCTGAGAACTAGTGGCAGGAGACAACATCAGGGAAGGCCTGGGCTTCTGTTAGGGTTGCCAGCTCCAGGTTGGGAAATACCTGGATATTTTGGGAATGGAGCCTGAGGAAGGCAGGGTTTGGGGAGGGAATAATGTCATAGAGTCCACCTTCCAAATCGGCCATTTTCTCTAGGGGAACTGACCCTTGTCACCTGGAGATCAGCTGTAGTCCCAGGACATCTCCAGCCACCACCTGGAAGTTAGAAAAACTGAGGGTCGCAGTGCTAGGAAGATAAGCAAAAGTATATAGCATTGTGTATAATCGATGTGTGTTCAAGGTAAATCAATGTTGTGCTTTTTTCTTTTCCTTTTTTCTTTTTCTGTACTGTTATATAAATATTGGTATCAAATATGATCAAAAATAGGTTTCACCCAAACAAAACATCAGAGTGCAGGTTTTCATTCTGTACAAATATACAGGCGGCTTACCTGATAGAGCTCGAGGGATAGGCTAACCTAGATAAATTATTATGTCTGCCGCAAGGGTTCCGATGGGACCCTAGAAAATATGCTGCCATCTTAAGAGTTTTTGTGCTCACAAAGAGAAATTATTGGGCCTTATGTTCTTTATATACATCACAGTCCTTGAAAAAGATTGCATTCAAAATGGGTAAATTGTTAGAGTTCCGACGGGGACTAGTGATTGTGATACTGGCAGGGTGCTGTCTGTATATTTGTACAGAATGTAAACCCGCACTTTGATGTTTTGTTTGGTTGAAACCTATTTTTGATATTTGATACCAATATTTATATAACAGTACAGAAAAAGAAAAAAGCACAAAATTGATTCACCTTGAACATACATCTATTATACATAGTGCTATATAACCACCTGGAAGTTGGCAACCCTAGCTTCTATGTACTGCCTGTTGGCTGGTTGGCTGTTGTGTGAGAACAGGATGCTGGACTAGCTGGACCAGTGGTCTGATCCAACAGGGCTCTGCTTGTATCCTTATGTAAAACATTAGGCCTTAGGGCACATTCTTCTTGGCTGTACTTATGAAGAATGTGGCTATGTAGGTGAAATGTTCAGCAGAATTCTCCTTTTTTGACATTTTTTCTGCAACAAATTAGTTGCTTGTGAGTTGTTGGTCCACCTCTGATTTAGTCAGTACTGGGCTGTGTTCTTCCTAAAACTCTCAAAATGAGTGGCAGAACTGAATTAATCTAGTGGGAACTGGAACAAATGGAAAGAGATATGGCCTGAATTTCTTAGCATAGCTTTGTGTTCGTCTTACAATGCTGAAGGATGGTGCAGCTGTATCATGGTCTGCCTGCTAACCTTGGTTATCAAATTGCAAACCTTGGGAATGCATGCCCCTTTGCCTCCTGGGAGCAAATTCTCTTCACATCAGTGGTTAAGAACAGGCTTGTAAGTGTGCATTATTTATTGACTGACTTTATAGTCTGCCTGTCTCACTGAGATTCAAGGTGGATCACACAGTGTAAATTATAAATCAATGCAATCTATAGAATGGATAATCTAATAAGCAATGTAACAGGACTAGGGTTCCAAAAATCTGAAAAAAGGCATAAGTATTAAACATGGTATGTTATGCAATGCTTAAAATGGTATTATGTAAGTGAAGAACAATGCAACGAGAGCAGGATAATGTGCACAGCAAACAGATAATACATACTATACACTGTGATCTCGTCCACAGTCCCTTTCCCTTTTTAAAAGTGCCTTCCTGAACCATTCTGTTTTAATGTAGCCCTATTACCATTATAACAATACCCTCCTGAACCATTCTGTTTTATGTGGTTTGCTGAATGACAGAAGCGTGGAAGCCTTCCTGGCTTCCTCAGGAGGCCACTCTACAAGGTGGAAGCCACAACAGAGAAGGCATGTGGATGGGCAGTTGCTGATCTTGTCCATTTGCAGGATAGCACTCCCAGAAAGTGCTGATCAGTTGAGCATAACTGTTGTGGTGGAGCACAGCAGGGGAGAGAGTCCTGCAGATAGGAAAGTCCAAGGCCTGAAGGTTTCTGTACATGTCTTGTGCTTATGAATCCCTTACAACTGATTCAGACACACTACTGAACATTTTGGGTGGGGGCTACTAACTTTGCGGATTGGTTTGCAAGGCAAAGACCAAGTTTTTATTGTTCTTTTATAGGGTGCCTCAAGCTTCACTTAATAAGTGAATAATGACTTAGTATGTGTGGTGCATCCTGCCTTATGTATGAAGTTCTGATTTGTTCCTTTTCTTTTCAAAGGTTATACTTAATATGATAGTAGAAGTGCCTCGTTGGACAAATGCTAAAATGGAGGTAACTTTAAAAACTCAAAACTCTTGAAACAGTTTCCAAGTAAATAAAGTAGTCCTTATGAAAGCCACAGTGAGTGTGGTAAGGAAAAAATGAAAATGATTTGTTTGAAAACAAGGTATTTCCCAACCCAGAGCTGGCAGGCTTCTACTTCCTATCCAGTCTCTTCTCTCTTGGGAAAAAATGCATCAAAGCACAAGAAACCCCGGAAAGTAAATAATTAGGTGACAACATTGTAGGGATTCTCTGAAAGACCCCACTTCAGTTTGTGTGCCAAACTGGAGCAGAACATCTGTGTGGAAGCAACGCCCTCAACCAGTATACCACAGTGGCTTGTTGTGGCCACTTGTCTCAGTTCAGAAGGTAGTGGCCCCTTTTAACAGCCTGATTTTTTATTTTTACTTTTAACCAAAGTACATCTTTGCTCAGAAGTGTGCATAAGATGATAAGTGTGACAATAGTCAAGTGGAGTGAAAGGATGTGATGGAGTTTTTGTGCAGAGGATTGCCCTTGTTTTGGGGGAGAAAAGTTGTTTAGCCCTTTCTCTTTGTGTTTACATGCATGTATATTCATCAAAGGAAAAAAATGCAAACACTCTAGAATTGGGGGAAGCTATTATGGAGAAATTAAAGAAGGTCAGATCCATTCAGAGGTGAACCAACAACTCACAAGCTGCTCTTCTGTTCTTATGGGTGCATTCTTGAGGCCTTGTTTATGTATCTGTTCTTCTTACAAATGGCTGTGAATAGTGCAGAGAAGTGCTTATCCTTTCAAAGGGGCATTGTTTCCTGTCATTGGTGATGGAACAGGTATTGTCCAGTAGGTGCCTGTGACCATTGCACCACTACAGTGTATGTAAGACCTCAGTAGAAATGGTGCTAGTCACAGGAATGATATAGATTAGTATATTCCAAACACGAGATTGCCAGATCCCAGAACAAGAAGCATCTAAAATAGAAAAAAATCTCTATCACCAATAAATTAAGAGCTGCAAGCATTCTGTCTCTTTTAAAAATTATAATTGTATGTGTGTGCCATCAAGACACAGCTGACATGGCGACCCCCTTAGGGTTTCCAAGGCAAGAGACGTTCAGAGATGGTTTCCTGTTGCCTGATGGTGCATCCCCGTGCTGGAATTCTTTGGAGATCTCCCATCCAAATCCTAGCCAGGGACCGACCCTGCTTAGCTTCCAATATCTGATGAGATTGGGCTAGCCTGGAGTGTCCAGGTCGGGGCAAAAATATAATTGGAATCTACTGATGTTGGGGGATATAAAAAGAATAAATTTTGCCCTTTATTTATTTACGTTTTCAGACACTCTGTATTTTCATTTTTTTTTACAAATGTCTGAAGTGTTTTGTCCCCCCACCACTACCTTCCTAAACCTTTGGAGTTATAAATCTAAATATAAAGCATGAAGCTTTCTTGAGAAATTTGTTTTGGGAATAATTACTTGAACCGTTTTATAGTAGTCTCTCCCCCCCCCCCTTCCCCTGCTCTGTGTTTTGCAACATGCTCAGATTGCCACGAAGGAGCCATTGAATCCCATTAAGCAAGACGTAAAGGAAGGCAAGCTGCGATACGTGGCAAATATCTTTCCCCACAAGGGCTATATTTGGAATTACGGTGCCTTCCCTCAGGTAACGTATGCTGTTTTTTGGTCTGTCAAAGGCATGAAACTTTTCTGTCTTCTCAGCATACTCCTCTCATAAATCCTGTGTATTTCACGAATGCAAAACTCCTGGAAGGAAAGCAATTGCATGCGGTAGACTTGTGCGTTGGTACAGGGAGCTGGGGAGAGATTATGCAGCAATTTTTGTCCATAAATTTTGATAAGAATGTGCCATTGGAGTTGAGCATATGTTTCTGGCAAAATTGTCATGCAACCCAGTATTATGGTTTCCCTTGTGGAAGTGGTCTTTGCAGTATCAGGCGCTGGGTGATTCCCTTGCACTGATTTCAGCCCTGCCGGGGCTCTGAGGAAGCTTGTGCATGAGGCAGCTGATGTGCGCAAGAGTTGTTGAGCGAATGGAGAAGCGCATGAAGAGGAGGTTGGGCTTTTGCTGACCTTTGTACCTTCTCATAATGGCCAGTTTCCTAGCAGCAATATGAGCTGCATTCAGACTACAATTTATGCCGACAAATGCTGTTTTTGCTTGTGTACTCCCTTTGTCCACAGAGCACCATCAAAGGCTTCCTAACTTTGGAAGCCTTGAAGGAGCTCCAGTTTGCTGTGACATGCAAATGTAAATTGGAGTTTGTTTCTTTCCCACAAATTAGAATTATTTTCTTTTCTTTGGGGGGTGGGGTATTGTGTGTGTGTATGTACTTAGAATCATAGAATCACAGAGTTGGAAGGGGCCATACAGGCCATCTCCACTTGCCGCTGCTGGATGACCTTGGGCAAGCCATAGTTCTGTCAGAACTGTTCTCTCAAGGACAGTTCTGGAAAGAGGTCTCTCAGTCCCGCCTACCTCACAGGGTGTCTGTTGTGGGGAGGGGAAGGGAAAGGAGTTTGTGAGCCACTCTGAGACTCCGAGTGAAGGGTGGGGTATAAATCCAATCTCTTCTTCTTCTAGTCCCCCCCCCCCCGCTCAGCTAGAGCATCCCTGACAAGTGTTTGTCCAGCCGCTGCTTAAAGACTGCCAATGAGGGGGAGCTCACCACCTCCCTAAGCAGCTGATTCCACTGTTGCAGAACTCTTACTGTAAAAACGTTTTTCCTAATACCCAGCTGGTACCTTACTGCCCTTAATTTAAATCCCTTATTGCGAGTCATATCCTGTGCTGCCAATAGGAACAGCTCCCTGCCCTCCTCTTAGTGACAGCCCTTCAAATACTTAAAGAGAGCAATCATGCCCCCCCCCAACTTCCTCTTCTCCAGACTAAACATTCCCAAGTCCCTCAGCCTTTCCTCATCAAACCACAGTTTGATTCCAGGTTTTGGGAGGAAACAAACTGCAGTTTCCCCTGGTGCCTGCATGAAGTTGTCACAGCAAATTGTAGTTTGATTCATGGTTTCCCAATCAGAAAGCCTTCAGTCATTTTCAGCAAGGGAGGGAGCACACAAACACAGCAGCAGGCAGGATTCATGTCTGCCACAAACAAAGACGGCTACACGTAGCATAGCAATGTCTCAAGGGAGATTATAGTCACTAGCAAACTTGGTGCATGAATTTCAGTAATGTACACATAGTAATAGTAAAGTGGAAGGTCAGTAGTTCAGCAGTTCGAGACCCAAGTTGCCGCATGACGGAGTGAGCTCCTGTCTCTAGTTCCAGCTCCTGCCAACCTAGCAGTTCGAAAGCAAGAAATTGCAAGTAGATAAATAGATACCATTTCGGTGGGAAGGTAACAGCGTTCCGTGCACCTTGGTGTTTAGTCATGCCGGCCACATGACCACGGAAACGTCTTCGGACAGTGCTGGCTCTTCGGCTTTGAAACAGAGATGAGCACCGCAACCCTAGGGTCAGACTCGACTGGCTTTCGAGCAAGGGAACCTTTACCTTTTTTTTTTACTTAAGAAATGCTAACAGAGAGTTTAATTTAAAAAATTGTTTCTTTCTATAGACTTGGGAAGATCCTCATCATAAAGATGGTGATACAGGATGCTATGGTGATGACGATCCCGTTGATGTCTGTGAAATTGGTTCCCAGGTATGCCTTAACCATTAGCAAGACTTGCTCTAAGGTTTACTTTAAAGTTCCAACTGCAGTTTTATTTCCCAGAATAGAGTAGAATGGGCCAGCTGTAGGCTAAGGACCAAAGCCACTAACATGGGATGACTTTAAAAAGGGGGGGGGGTTAGCAGATTCTTGGAGGTGTGCCCATAAAAGTGTTGGGCTATGGAAGTGTCTTCACTTGTCATGAGAGCGTTTGTGCTTACAAATAGTAGCAGTTAGCATTGACCAATTAGACTCCAGGCAGAAGTTCCCACTAGAGAAGGAGGTCATAGTACTGGCTGTATTGTAGTTTTGCATCTTTAATGAAGTTGTTAAAAAACTTTTTTAAACTGAGGTGGTCTAAGATTCCCTATTGGTTAATGGCTTTTATTTGGGTACTACAGCGTTCCATGCGCCTTGGTGTTTAGTCATGCCAGCCACATGACCACGGAAATGTCTTCGGACAGCGCTGGCTCTTCAGCTTTGAAATGGAGATGAGCACCACAACCCTAGAGTCGGACTCGACTGGCTTTCGAGCAAGGGAACCTTTACCTTTACCTTTACATGCTTTTAGGAGCTGCAATGGCTCAAGTGGTTAAGACACTGAACTGCAGGCTGTGGAAGGTCGGTAGTTCAGCAGTTCGAGACCCGAGTGTGCCTCATGATGGAGTGAGCTCCCGTCTCTAGTTCCAGCTCCTGCCAACCTAGCAGTTCGAAAGGAAGAAATTCCAAGTAGATAAATAGGTACCCCTTCTGTGGGAAGGTAACAACAGTATTTTGTGCGCCTTGGTGTTTAGTCATGCCGGCCACATGACCACGGAAATGTCTTCGGACGGCGCTGGCTCTTCGGCTTTGAAACGGAGATGAGCACCGCAACCCTAGAGTCGGACTCGACTGGCTTTCGAGCAAGGGAACCTTTACCTTTACATGCTTTTAGGAGCTGCAATGGCTCAAGTGGTTAAGACACTGAACTGCAGGCTGTGGAAGGTCGGTAGTTCAGCAGTTCGAGACCCGAGTGTGCCTCATGATGGAGTGAGCTCCCGTCTCTAGTTCCAGCTCCTGCCAACCTAGCAGTTCGAAAGGAAGAAATTCCAAGTAGATAAATAGGTACCCCTTCTGTGGGAAGGTAACAACAGTATTTTGTGCGCCTTGGTGTTTAGTCATGCCGGCCACATGACCACGGAAATGTCTTCGGACGGCGCTGGCTCTTCGGCTTTGAAACGGAGATGAGCACCGCAACCCTAGAGTCGGACTCGACTGGCTTTCGAGCAAGGGAACCTTTACCTTTACATGCTTTTAGGAGCTGCAATGGCTCAAGTGGTTAAGACACTGAACTGCAGGCTGTGGAAGGTCGGTAGTTCAGCAGTTCGAGACCCGAGTGTGCCTCATGATGGAGTGAGCTCCCGTCTCTAGTTCCAGCTCCTGCCAACCTAGCAGTTCGAAAGGAAGAAATTCCAAGTAGATAAATAGGTACCCTTTCAGTGGGAAGGTAACAGTGTTTCGTGCGCCTTGGTGTTTAGTCATGCCGGCCACATGACCACAGAAATGTCTTCAGACCGCGCTGGCTCTTCAGCTTTGAAACGGAGATCCCTAATCCCTAGAGTCGGATTAGACTGGCTTTCGAGCAAGGGAACCTTTACCTTTACCTTTACATGCTTTTAGTCATGTACTGTATTGGGGGCAACTTTCTCTTTCTTGGTTCTTGAGATCACAACATGGTTAGACTGTTTATGCTTTATTATTTTCAATTCCAAATGTAACCCTGCCCTTTATCTTTGTTTCTAGTAAAGTTTTTATTTATAATCAAACACACAAGTCTGTGTGCTGCCTTCATTCTTCCGTGTTTAAAGTGCTTTGCTAATTTTTCCAACACAAGGGCTGCTAGCTACGGTGACTCAAGGGAACCTCCGTGTTCAGAGGCAGCAAACATCTGAATGCTACAGTCCTGGGAGGCAACATCGAGGAAAGGCCTTGTCCTCTGTTCCCTGTTTGTTGGTCCTGTAGGGCAACTGTGTGAAACAGGATGCTGTGTGAAACAGGATGCTGAACTGGATGGACCATTGGTCTGATTCAGCAGGGCTCTTCCTATTTTCTTAAAGCTTGACTTTAGAGGGAGGGGAAAGAATAGATTGAGGTTTGCAGGATAAGTGAGAGGTTTCCTGTGGGAGGGAAGCACAGGAAGGGGAAGGGTTGAGTTTTCATGTTGCACCATGGGATGGAATCTTCAGCCATCGGGGTCCTCCGTACCAAAGCAGGCAAACTAAGGTGGGACATTGTGAGGGAATGTCTGATTGGAGTCTGTGTGGTTGGGGTATTGATTGAGATCAATGAAGGGATAGTACAGTTATACTCGGTTCTCTATACTGAACAACCTGTCCTGTCTAAGTTGAGAGACAGACATGGTCAGAGAGAGGGTAAGGTTCTGAGTGAAGCAGGCTTGTAAGAAGAGAGGATTTGCTGTGATGAAACCGAAGGAAAGCGGGGAGGTTGCGTACCTGTCAAAGTGAGCTCCTTTGAAGCAAGGTTAGTTTAGTATCGGGAAAGGAGGAATGTAAAAAAAAGCTGAAGAATATGAAGAAGAAGAAATCTGAATATTTTTGGGGCCGGACACAATTGGGAGGAGCACACTTAAGGAAGTGAAATATATCTGTGAAGAATGCCTACAGGGTGACATATAGGAACATGAAATGAAGAGGAAGTCAGTGGTTATAAGTTAGGTTTTTCTCTTCTGTACTTTAAGGTTCGCTCGCTTGGCGAGGTTGTCCAGGTGAAGGTGCTTGGGCTTTTAGGCCTTATTGATGAAGGAGAATCCGACTGGAAGGTCATTGCTATCGCTGTGGATGATCCAGAATCACAAAATATCAATGGTAAGCCTATTATTTATCCCTATCCAGTTGTTCCGGTCTTCATTTCAGAGAGCACATTCCTGAAAACAGATTTGATGTTGCTTTCTCTGTAGGGCTGGGAGTTGGGGGTGGGGAAGTGTTTCACAGAGGCTCAGTTCCTCCTTGCCCAGGGTGTCGACTGGGACGTTCCTATCAGCAATCTGGCAGCTGCATTCTGGACCATTTGCAGTTTCCAAAGCGTCTTCAGTGGTAGCCCTGCGTAGAGCATGTTACAGTAGTCCAGTCTCGAGGTGACTGTTGCATGAATCACCATGGCAAGGTCTGCCTGACACAGATAGGGAGCCAGTTGGCATAGACCCTTCTGAGGTCCCTGCCCTCCTCAAACCCCATGCTCCCCAGGCCCCACCCCTAAATGTCCAGAAATTTCCTAACCTGGAGTTGACAATCCTATCTCTTTCCCACCCAACAGCCAATCTACCTTTATGCCCCCCCCCCCGACAGCTTCTACCTAGGAAACCCGTGGCCCAGTTTTGTGGTGCCACAGTTCACTGCCACATTCTCTCCTCCTCAACCATTCACCAACCTATATTTTATCTGCTGCCCCCCCATCTTCAGCTATATTTATTATTTATTTACTTCATTTATAGCCTGCCTGTTTCCACAGTGAGGACTAAAGCAGCATACATTATTCTGTTCTTCCTTTTATCCTCACAATGACCCTGTGAGGTAGAGTAGGCTGAAAGTATGTTACTGGTCCAAAATTACCCAGTGAGCTTCTGCAGCAAGATGGAGATTTGAGCCTGGGTCTCCCAGACCCTACTCTGAAGCTCTAACCTCTGTACTTTCGTAGGGTGGCTGCGGAAACAGTAGTAAGCAGCCAGGCCTAGTTGAGTGGTATCAAGTTACTCAGAGGTTGCTGCTAAACCTAGGTTTGCCAACCTCCAGGTGGGACCTGGAGATCTCCCAGAATTACAACAGAACTCCAGACAGCAGAGATCTGTCCCTGTGGGGGGGAAATGGCTGCTTTGGAGGTGGACTCTATGGCATTATATCCAGCAGAGGCCCCTCCCAAACCCCTGCTTTCCTCCAATTCCACCGCATAATCTCTAGGAATTTTTCAGCCTGGAACTGGCAACTCCAGTCAACCCTAGGCCCGGCCCTAATGAGTCTTTCTTCACAGGCCAAAAATTGGCCTGGAAATGGCCCTGCTCCCTCCTGCTGCTTTTCACTCACAGAAATCCAGCTTGGAATCTGTGGTCGCCTAGCAACTGCCACTGAAAGAATCCTGTGCTTAAAGCTGCAGGAGCTCCTTTTATCATTTTTGGATTTTTTAAAGCCCCCAATATATTTTGTTTAGATTTCACATTTTTTTTCAAACCTGGGGCCCTTTTCAGGTTTGCCCTTTCACAGCTCCAGACACTGGATTTATGTATCGAAAGATTTCCTGACTTCACTACTAGAATATAAGATAGATCTGCAGATATTTTGTAGAACAATGAACAGATGGGGGGGAAAGAAAAAAAGGCAAGGAAAGAGAAAAATCTCATTAAATTAAAATATAAAAGACAGTTTTCATTGTAAAGGTAAACTGTAATGCATATTAATAAAAAGACCTATTCATATTTCATAGTAATATTTAAAACATTTTAATACTTTAATTATATAAAAAACAAATGTTGCAAACTTTCATTGAGGTTGAACATTTCTCCGATATACTGTACACATACATTCCCCTCGTCCAAAACAGTAAGACTCATGAAATGGCAAACCTCACTCTCACTGAAGTAGTCAGCCCATGGCTGTGTTGAAGCTGCAGGTAGGGGCATACATGAATGAATGTCCCTTGATACAGAAAATAATTCCCTGCACATAAAAATAGCATGTTTGGGAGAAAGGTCAGGATAGAATGCTCCTTGGCATCTAGTTTTTTTCTGGAGAAGAACCCAAAAAATGCCAAGGGGCGTTCAATAGTCTAAAGTAACATAACCTGTAGACAGGCTTACTATCATAGGGCCAAAGTAAGTGAATAGTGATACTGGAGATCTATACGTGGTAACTCCCACATGTAATTCAGCCACAAAAGCAGCAGCTGAGTGGCCCCAGTATCTGTCAGCACCATGGTGAAAACTTAGCAAGTAATTTTCCCACCCTGCATTGGATCTGTTGTTTATACTGAAGCATTCAAAATGAAGCTACAATTTATACATTGCAAGGTTTTTCCGCGCAGCAGAAATTGTCGCAAATGTTTTTATATTGACCAAAGCCGTTGCTTCCTGTAACTGTTTATCAATTGTCTTTGAAAACATGTGTTCCCTTTCTTGGAACCTTTCTTTCAGCTGCTGGCTTGCAAGTGGGGTGTGTTAGCTTTGCCCACAAGATGAGGAGAGCACCTGTTGTTTGAAAGTAGTGGCTGAGTACAACTTTGTCTAGTGGTGCAAGTTCCTCTAAAATTCGTTTTCCACTGGTTGAACGCCTCTGTTAGGTTATGAACTGAGAGTGCCCACTGTCTGCACAGTTGCTGGAGAATCATGGCCAATCCCGACTAAATATACCCACCGGCTTGTGTTGCCATCTCAAACAAGGCAGTTTTCATGTTTAATCTGTAATATGCGAGGCATCGCTTGATCTTCTGACAGCAGCCGAGCAGCCTTTCCTGTCAACGGCTGGAGCAAGTTGGCTTCTATTTTATTACAGTGAGTCTCCATGCCAAGTCAATAAAAGCATTTTGAGCATCCTGCAGTATAATTGGCAGCCTCTTCCACCCAATATTGGCTTGAGAGGCAGCATCACACGCAGTGACTGTTGGGGAAGCATGATCTAGTGCCTGGTTAATGGAGCACAGCTGTCTAGTTCTGCTTGGCAGGCAAATCTCCTGCCCTGTGATCTTTAATAGCTGCTGGTGTGGATTGTGGGTGAGAGACAGTGGGCTCTTTCTTGGAATTTTTAATGTTTATGCTTTTAATGTTACATGTGCACATAAGTGTTTTCCAGTGAAGCACCTTGGGCCCACACTGTACAGTATATATTAATGAATCCAATGCTATCTGGCCTGGTCTGTGGACCTTTGCATTGCATTGAAGGACTAGAATTCTGTGGGTTGAAAGGACCTGTGTTCTTGTAGGTCAGTGTTACCATCTTCCGCATTACAAGAGGGGACAATTGATCTGTGCTGCTGATCGTTCTGGAGTGACGGATAAATCTTTTGCCCGCCTTCAGCCTGGCCAACAATATTGTTTGTCAGACTTTTAATGTTATTTTAGAACCTCTGGGTTAGACTGAGAAACAGTAGCCAGCCCAAGCTTTCCTAGTGAGCTTCAGAACAAGTAGGGATTTGAACGTAAGAGCCCCCAGTCCTAGTCTGAGCTTCAGGTCCTAGTGAGCTTCATAGAAGGGTAGGGGGCACCCGTCTCTAATGGAAGATCGTGGAGCACGGCGAGTGACGGCAGAGTCATCAGCGGCAAGAAAATGGCGGCGACGGAGCATCTGGCGGTGAAAGAAGGGCGGCGATGCGGCGGCTGCAGCAAGAACAGAGCGATCCCTGGCGGCAAATGAACACCATGCAGTGCGACGGAGGCGAGAGACTGAGGGGCGCCCGATGACGCGCGGCGCCTGGGAAGGCGGAGCCAACAGGATTGAGCCGAACCAGGAAGCAGAGCGTGAAAGCCGGGCGCCTGCGCAGTCCCGCTGGCCGACAGTCGCTAGGAGTATGCCAGAGAAAGATCGCCGGAACAATGCCGCGCCGGAGAAACAACAAGCCGCTCAAGAACTAAGGGTGCTGGTAGGTTTCCCCATCCCATTACTGTGGCCCAAGTTAGGGAAAAGAATGGTTCCTAGAACCACAACAAATGTAAACCGCCCAGAGACCCCTAAGGGGGTTAGGGCGGTATAGCAAATGTAAGGTAAATAAAATAAATAAAATAACAACTAGGGATTTGAATTTAAGTCTCCTAGTTTGACAACTAACTTCTGCAGCACGCTGGTACTTTAGGCCACCATGCCGGGCCAGATTGGTGTGACACTCTAATGTATATGTATTTTTGTAACCCTTTGCAGATATTGATGATGTCAGGAAGCTCAAACCAGGTTATCTTGAAGCTACAGTTGACTGGTTCAGAGTATATAAAGTACCGGATGGGAAACCAGAAAATCGTTTTGCTTTTAACGGCAAGTTTAAAGACAAGGTGAATTAAAGCGGGGTTTCTTTTTTGCTAAAAGTGCATTTGGATTACTTAGATTCTAATTATAGTGGATGGAGAAGAGGAGGCAAAGAACTGTGAACCCAAAGTTTTGAGGTTCATCCATGTCATGAACAAACATCTGAAAGTAGCCCAGATCAGTTAACAGACAACAACAAAGAAAAAATCTCGGTATCATTGTAAAATGATCTGTCTGAGATTTTTCATGAATGTTTCCCCCCCCTCGAAGATGCTATTTTCTCTGCAGGAGTACGTGGAAGTTGTTTGGCTGGTTGTGAATGCCAGGCTGGGAAATGTCATTATCTGTTTGGAATAATGGAAAAGGTCTTCAGCTACCTGCAATCATAGTGCTTGTAGAAAAGATAAAATATTCAAAAGCAGGAAAGTGCTCTTGCTCCTTCCTGCTTGAGTAGGATCCACATGAAACATTTTGCCATCCTCACAGGCAGACAGCCTATTGGTTGTACCTCTGGAAGGCAGAGCCCCTATAAAGCGGTTGCCGCTGATGAAATGGGTGCTGTTGCTATGCTGTTGTTGCAGGTGATTGGACAGTACCAATGACATCATTAATGATGAGCAAAGCATTTCCTGTCCCTGTTGCTCAGTGCAGTGTGGGTTATTTCTAGAATGTTAAGATGTTCTTTTTTTTGACAACTTAGCAATGTGCAAAAACCGAGCTGACAAGTATTCAAGTAGCTCTTCAAGAACAAAATAAATACAAACTGATTTGCTCTCACAGCAATGCATGGCTCTTTCAAAATCCTGTTTTCAAGGTATAAGTTTTAAAGTAAATATTCTTACATACTGTATAATACACAGTATGATTAGGGCCGGAAATTTTTTAAAAATCTCTGAAGAATGTGTACGTACCATTCGTTGCACTAGGTCTTCTAGCTGCACTCAGACATCCAAACTGACCGTGGTTCATTTGGTCCAAGAACCAATCTCAGATGTCCTCGGGGCTGCACCTCATGTGCCTCTGCAGAGATTGGAAACGTCGTTGTTCAGAGCAAGCTGCCGATTGTTGTGACAGTGGCACTAAACAAAATGACAAACCATAAGGATTTCAAGGCACATCTTAGTTTGGGATCCTTATTCATAAGTAAGTGTTGGTTGATCCAGTGTGGAGGTCATAACAAACTGTAGTGTGTTCGCATGAAGACGTTTGGAGAGCTGGAGTGGTATAGTGATTAGAGTGAAGGGCTAGGATCTGCGAGACCCTGGTTCAAATCCCCAACTCTGCCATGGAAGATCCAAGGGTGACCTTTGGCCCGTCACACACGCTCAGTGAGGTTGTTGTGAGGATAAGATGGAGAGGAGACTGATGTAAGCTGCTTTGGGTCGCCCCCGGGGGAGAAAGGCAGGGTATAAATGAAGTACATTTGTAAATGAATAACTGTATTCAATCTCTGCACCATGTGTGATGGAGTGAGCTTGCAGACTTCTGAGAGCTGCGGGATGATCCCAGGGAAGTGTTCTTAGGACTGCACTGCGGCAGTGTGATCCTAAGTAGAGGGAGACAGACCCTTCTAAGCTCATTTGAGTCAATGAGATGTAACTCTGCTTCAGAGTAAGTTCTGCTGTCACACTAAGTAAGTTCTGCTGTTATGACGGCACTGCAACCTGTGAACCACACAAGGCAGCCTATGTCTCGGCTGTCATTAAAAAGCTTCATGCGCTGCGTGTCCAGACTCCACCCAGTCCAGCAGCTGTTGCAGGGATGGGCTAGCACTAGTACACAAGACTTGTAGCGTGGTGTGGATGGGAGAAGCAGCTTTGCGTTGTGTGTGTCTCTTAGCTATCTTTGAGTGAGTTTAGGATAGGTTTTGAAAGCTCCACAATGCCAACTGTCACATCAAAAGTGCATTTGAGCTGAAATTGCCTAGCCTTACCAGTTGCCTTTTATTCTTGTGCAATTTTCCAGTCTTTTTCTGGTCAAACCTTCCCCTTGTTGTTTTTCTTAAAATGCATCATATGGAGGTCTCCAAAGATACCCCCCCCACCTCACCCTGGCCTCATCAGGATTCCCAGCTCTTCTACCGAAGACACTTTCCAACTGCTGTAGTGAGATTTGGACAGAGCCAGAGCCCTGACAGATGGTGTTTTAAAATTTAAGCATATGCTGAAAGGCTTCACTAAAGCAGAGCCAAAGCATGAACCAAATTCCTTTGCTCTCTGTTTGAACTGGCTCACAGAGGCTTCTCAAAATGTTTCTGGGAATCCAAGTCTGCTAACAGGGTTGCTCATTCCCCAAATATGGCTCAGTTCCCAGGGTCTCCTTGAAAGAGATCTGTGGTCCAGTGGTTCCATTTGGAGGAAATGTGCATTGTCATTCTGTGTTTTCCCTGTTTTCTTTTTTACACATCAGAGAAGTTTAAAAACTTGGCAAACTTTTCCAACAATTTTTACAGATGAAGATCTAGATAAAAATGGTTTAATAACTAAATGGCGAGGTCCAAGTTATTGCTGAATGTGCAGTTTTTATTTGTATTTTGCAGTCATCCTTAAATCTTTGCAAAATGTTAACATGTAACGGTGTTGTTATCATACATAAATTTAATTTCCTAAATATTTTAATACTAAAAATAGGTGTTTGCTCTTGAAATAATTAAATCCACCCACGAATACTGGAAAGCTTTGATTCATAAGAAGACTGACGGAGGAGCCATAAAATGGTGAGCATCCAGGTTTTATAGCTCTCTCAAAATCCAGTGTGAACAAACGCTAAAGTATTCCATGCTTTTTCTTTTGATGTGGTAGCATTTCTGTTCCTAAAGATCATCTTCCATATCATGCTGTGTCCATAATTTTGCTTGACTGTCGTATTAAGAAATGGCACCCTCTTGACCCTGCAGACTACCCAGCAGCTAAACCTTACAAACAGCTCCAAAACAAATTGGTCTTTAATCTTCAGTTTGTAGTTTGCACGCAAAAGTGATAACCTTGAATGTTCTTGAGTGCCCACATTTCGTTGGCTTTGCTTGTTCTTGATAAATAGCTAAGTGACTGTGGCATACTGTTAAACAGGGCAGCATGCAAGGTTGTTCTGAAACCATGGAAGAAATGTCCACAACCCATTTCCTCCCCTAAATACCATAAATGATCCTTCTGTTCCTCTAGTATTCTTGGATAAAATGGAGGCGAGGAGAATGATGTAAGCCACTTTGATTCACCATTGGGGGAAAAGGCGGGGTATAAATGAATTAAATACATAAATTCTGCACTGTCTTGTAGTTTGGTAAGCCCCTCTCTGTGAGGTATGCTTTTGTTTACATTGTTTCCTAATATCCATAATCTTAGCCCTGTAGCATTGTTACTGGATGTCTTGTGCTTTCGGATCGGATCATTTCCTGTATTTAGTAATCTGCCGTGTGTGCCTGTGAAAAAGGCAGGCTATAATTTAAGTCAATAAATTAAAATATATATATATATATATTGTTTTTCAGCACCAACGTCCTAGTGGGTACCAGTCCCTACTGCTGCAATGAAGATGATGCCCAAGCAATTGTGGAATCTGTAAGGGCAAATTCTTGTGCATTTCTCCCCCTCCCCATAAGAGTCATCAGTGGCAGCACACAAACATCAAATGCACCATTGCCATCTAATATGGACAACAAATGAAGGAGTGGGAGTTAAATGGAGATCATAGATGGTGCATGATGTGGTTTTGTGCGTGGAGATGGGTGTGTTAAGGTGGGCTCTTATCCTCTGTCACCACACTGGTCTACCTCTTTCAGTGCTGTGAACAGTGCTGCTGTCCAGGATCACAGGCAGAGAAGAGTTTTCTCAACACCTGCTACCTTTTAATTGGGGGCATCAGGGATTGGACTTTTCCATGGCAGTACCTTGGAAAGAATAGGCCCTCCTACTGACTGAACCTGTCCCTCAAGTCTTCATACAGTCATCTTTCAGATTATTACATAGAACTGTTACCAGGCCGGTTACACCAAATCAGACCACTAGGCCATCTAGTTTGGCATTGCCCACTTAGGCAAAGACTTCAGGAGCTCACTGGAGTTTCAGGCAAATGTCCCCTCTTGCTACCTGAGATCCATTAACGGGGAAGGCCAGCAGCCTTCTGCATACAGAGCATGTGCTCCACCACTGAGCCAAAGCCTGTCCCATTCATTTCACTGATTGTTCCCTGATGCCAGCTTTCCCCCTTGCTCTGGCGCTGCCTGATAGCGAATGGACTCTTTGCAACTCATTTAGTGAAATTGTATTTATTGTATTTTATATTATTCTGTACTGTTTTAATGTTTTAACTTGGGCATTCGTGCCCCTTGTGAGCCGCCCTGAGCCTTCGGGGAGGGCGGGGTATAAATTTAAAGATAAATTTAAAAATAAATTAAATTAAATTAAATTAAAATTCTGCTATCTTTTAGTGTCTGCCCAGTTGCCACGAGTTACCACCAGTGTTCCCTCTAAGCTGAGTTAGTGTGAGCTAGCTCACAGTTTTTTAGCCTCTGGCTCACACATTTTTGTCACAGCCCAAGAAGGGATGGCTCCAGAGCAAACTGATTTATGCAGTAGCCAAATCGCTCGCTCACAACTTTAATGCCAGTCGCTCACAAAGTAGATTTTTTGCTCACAAGACTCCACAGTTTAGAGGGAACTTTGGTTACCACCCAGGCTCATTGATTGTCAGGGTACATGTAATCACTAAGAACATACTTTGTTCATTGCCTTGTGTAATTAAATTGCTGTCTTCAAGTGAATTTGGGGTGGGGGAAGGAAAACCTCTTTAAAAAGTTGGGTTCCCCCCCCCCTGCCATGACATTAAAATGCTGTATTTTAGAACATACAACTTTAGCAAAGGCACTAAAAATATCAGTGCTTGGCTTATATGCTAAAAATGAAACCCCCAGTTCTGATCTGTTTACAAACCACTTTGCCAGCTGCAACGATTACATCAGTATGTTGAGTGTTTTTCATATGCCTCACAGCAATTTGGAAAGCTGGTTTTAAAAAAAGCTATTAATGGACTAAAATGCCTGCTTTGTATATCTTGGGATGCATCCGCACATCACTGGAATGTTGCATGGTTGTTGTGCCATAGCAGTCACACGCTCTTACATTTTCCTGTGTGCACCAGAGGCAATCCAGGAATGAGGAATGATGGCTTCAGCTCAACAGTAGTGTGTTCTGCAGCAGTGTGCGGATGCAGCCTGAGAAATGCAGGTGTAGCTGGTGGCTAGCAAGACTCTCTGTTCCCTTAAAAGCCATGCACTCAGTGACTCAGAGCCAGCTGTGGTGTAGAGCGGTGGACTCTAATCTGAAGAACCGAGTTTGATTCCCCACTCCTTCACATGCAACCAGCTGGGTGACCTCGGACTGGCCACAGTTCTCTTAGAGCTCTCTCAGCCCCACCTACCTCACCCGGTGTCTGTTGTGGAGAGAGGAAGGGAAGGTGATTGTAAGCCACTCCGAGACTCCTTCGGGTAGTGAAGAGTGGGGTATAAAACCTACTACTACTACTACTACAACTACTTCCTTATTCCTTCCTCATCTTCTTCTTTCTTCTTCCTTCCTTTGTTCCTTCTTCTTTCTTCTTCTTGTTTCTCCTTCATCTCACAAACAGGCTATGTTCACACACAAGGAAGGGAGGGTGATTCCATCCCTTTCTTGGGGCGGGGGGGAGGCAGGTCTCCTGAGTCTCAGCTATGGAACTCTTGGAAGGGAATGCAATAGGCTACCTGGGAGAAGAGAAGCAGATGAAACTTCCGTCAAGTAGCTGCACTGGTGTAGCTTTGGAATCCTATCCATTGTCTTGTTCCAGTCTTTACAAATGTCTCAGTAATGCTGTCTCATGTTTTTACCTCCATATCAGGGGCAGAGGCTGCTAGAGAGTGGCCTAACAAAGCCATTACCTGACAGAAGCAAAATTCAAACTGGGGGTAATCCTCAGCCTCTCAAAGAACCACATGACTTGTATGTGTCAACTAGGAATCCATCATGAGATAAAAAGATCATTGAGACTGAGGGGAGACCTGCAAAAGCCATTTGTGGCATGAGAGTCTCTGGTTCAAATAAGAAAGTTTTTTTTTTTAATCTCTCTTGGAGATCACCAGACATTGCGTTTGCCTGTCTGTGCCTTAATACAATATAATTCTGTGCCTTAATACAATAATACAATATAATGCTGGTTCTTTTGCAGACTCCACCTTCTGAGGAGAAACACTCTGCTGCCAAAGAAGGTAAGGTCTCTTGTTGATTGCTTCCACATCTCACATCAAATGTCCATAAAGTAAATAAAGCTTGAAAGATGTAGGCAGAGACTTTAGGGCTAGGGTACTAGTGTTTTGTCTAAAATCGGGTGCACCCATGTTTGCATAGAATTTCAAATTGTTATGTTATTTTGATACAGAAAGTAGTTGCCTTCTGGCCTAAATAAAGAGGTGAATCGATGTATGCTAGACTGAGCTCTTCGGACTACTGGCAGGATAAAGACCTAATAAACGTAGAATCTGCTCTCGACTGTAGAACAGTCAGTCACCTGTGGTCTAATTTTCCATGACTGTCTGTGCATGCACTTCTTAAATAACGAGGTGATGGAATGAGATGCTTGCAAAGTGACATCTGCAAAAATAAAATTACACAAATATCCGTAATACAGTTCAGACAGTTGGAAACATACTGATGAATTTTTAGGATAGCTACATAACAGAACAATGGGCTTACATATGACAAATGTTTGTTGATCATATACAAAGAAAACAATAAATTGTTTGCATATGTTTGTATCTAAGTTCCTTGCTACAAATAATGCTACTTTTTTTGTTTTGTTCCTTTAGTTGATAAATGGTACTTTCTTGGCCAGTGATCATTCAGATTCTCTGATCAGGTTGTGAAATCCTGAATGGCCTCATCTTCGCACACCCTCACATCTGCTGAAGATATGCAAGTGAAGGAACTGCAGAATTGATTCCACATTCTGCAGATGTTTGTGATGCACAATTTCTATCATGTAAATAAAAGTGATTTTATTTTTTTCACTCTGAAGGTGTGTTAAATTTCATTACCTAGAGTCTATTGCTTAGTATTCCCATTATATCTTCTCCCTGTCTGTTTGATGGAGCAGTAACTATGCCAGCTTGCATTTTTGAAACTGGCCTATTATTGCAGGTTTCTTGGTAATTCCAATGGAACAGAAGGATGTTATTGGTTAAAGGGAGAGACTCCATTCCATTGTGCCATACTGCTAAGGAAGAGATATGATATTTGAATCAACAAGCTGTAGTTTGCATTTAGCCCTCAAGGCAGAATTAGAGTTCACTGTGTGGAGCCTGTATGCTGGCCATGGTTGATACTCATGACGGTTGGTGTGATGTCTGAACTGGGAAAAAATACACATTCTGGCTGTTGTATTGGAGCCTCTGTATTAAAGAACTGGAGTGCCGAGCAGCTACAAAAATGAAATCAAAAAAAGATATATCAATAATAGCTTGCCTGAGAATAATGTGGAAAGAAGAACCAGACAAACTGCCCTAAGCCTTATGGAGCAAGGTTTGGATAAAATTATAATAGATGGATTGCACCACAGCATCTAGTGGCACTAAATGCTGTGAATGAGTAACACTCATAAACCTACTGTTGCTGTCAATGAGTGGATTGCAGCTGGTACAAGGAATCAGGCTTACGAATCAAACAGCAGCATCTCTGGTTAAGTCCTCCTTATCAACTAACCAAGTAGTGGTCATGAACTTTTTGAAAAGTCACCTATTTTTGAAGTAGTCCCTCCAATGCATTTTTGGATCAAGGTTCATGTACAAATAAAACAGATTTAATACCTTGCTTTTGAAAAAGGCAGCAACATTTCTTTTTCTCATGTAGTTTTGGCTACTGTTTGAAGGTGAGAAATATTCAAAGTGACGGGTGTAATCCCATCAAAAGGTAAACATTTTAAAGTCCAAATGATGTGAACGGGATAATGAAGCAGGTGCTTAACAGTGCCATTCTTAAGCAGAGTGATGCTCCTTCTAAACTTGATGGGTTTAGAAGGGAATGGCTCTGCTTAAGATACTTTCAGGTGGGTAGCTGTGTTGGTCTGCAGTAGAACTGCTACAGTTGAGTCCAGTAACATCTTAGAGAACAACAAGAGTTTCAGGGTGTAAATAGTTCCAGAGTCAAAACTGTCTTTATCAGATAGTATACTTATACCCAGGGGGAATGAGCAGGAACGGCGTTCCGGGAGTAACAAGCCCAGGAATAGGGAACCTAGGCATGCTTGTATGCCTGCCTTTTGCTTCCCCAGCCAGCCTGCCGTGGCGAGTTGTCTGGGGAAGGGCAGGCAGGCAGACATGCCCCCTTTCCCCCCTGAGCCTCTCCCCTTTTGTGGAGAAACTCAGGGAAGGGGGGGGGGGATTTAAACCTAGAGAAGATCAGGCAGGGAATGCAGGCGTGCTTGCATGCCTGCCCTTTGCTTCTTCAGCTAGCCTGCCGTGGCAGATTGGCTGGGGAAGGGAGGGCAGGCATGGAAGCATGCCTCCTCCTCCTCCCTTCCCTATTTGAGCTTCTCCACTCTACTGTGGAAAAACTCGGAGAGGGGAAGGAAAGTGGGAGGGGGATGTTTCAATGCCGCGGGGCACCTGGAGGAGATCAGGCAGGGAACCCAGGCATGCTTGCATGGCTGCCCTTTGTCAGGAGTTGTGGCATATGCAAATACGTTATGCTAATGGGTTATGCTAATGAGCTCCTGCACCTCTTTTTCTACGAAATGACCCCTGGCCCACCCAGCAAAGCAACCCCTCCCTCCTTCCCTGACTCAAAACACTCCTCCCCCCATGGCAACTCCCAAGTCCTGCCTCTGACCATGCTTTTTGGCCTGCTACATCCGCTTTTTTGGATTACTCTACTCTAACCCAGTCTCCATCGTCATTCCCAGTCTCCCTCAGAGCCTCGTCCTTTTCTTTCCAAGACTTCTTTCAAAGTATGTGCCTTGCCTCCCCTTTCCCCTTCCCTTCTGCCAAGTGCTGAAACCCAAATGTGCAGCTCTTGAATACCAAGTAGTGGTTAGTAGGAGGTTTTGTCTCTGGTAAGAGTCCCACAGAGGTGGGGCTAATATAGACCTGTGTGACAGACAAGCCAAAGTCCTGCCCATTAAACCTGGTTGGAATATTCATAGGGCAGGTCGCAGCCAATCGGGGCCTTCGGAATATTGGGAGAGCATGTGGGAGGTGGGAGTTAGAGCCCAAAAGACAGTTAAACTGCTGTTTTCCTTCAGACCTGGCTGAGCCGCCAGGGAGGCTGGTTGTGGGATTTCCCTGGCTGCAGCTGGGTCTCTGTCTTCAGAGGAAACTGGCTGGTAGAGTATGGTGTCCAGGAAAGGCTCACACCTAATTTACATTCTTTAATTTTCCAAGATCACGTTCCAGTGTAAAGTATCCCGGCAGGTCTCCTCTGGGATCCAGTCCACCTGGATTCCAAATTCTCACTCAGGGCAGGTGTCTACTCCATACTCTGGAGAGCTGCTGCTACTCAGAGCAAATGACCTTGAGTTCAGTGGACCGGTAGAGCTTCTTGTGTGGAACACCAGGAGAAGCACCGAGAGTCAAGTCCCTCAACCTTCAGTCAGAAAGAGGCAGCAGGTCAAGAAAGGAGAGGCGGATGCGGAGGCAGAGAGCGTCTTCAGTGCCTATTGAGGTTTTCTCACAAAAGCTGCCCCAGATGAGCATGAAAAGGACACAGAATATCTCTTGGAAGCAAGTTCCATAGGACACTTGTCCCTTCAAGGACCTGGCCTGTCCTGCTCCCCCAACATCTGTGATATTCATCTTAGAGGGAAGGAAAGAATGTCCCAGAATGAGTCTCTTGGGCAACTCTATGAAGCCCTAAGGTAAACTTGCCAGCCTCCACATGGGATAGGATAACCAAAGAGAGATTGTGGGATAAGTGAGTACAAAATAGTCAATGGCAAACATGATATATTTATAAAGGGAATATCACTCTTATAGATTTTTAAAAAATAGATTACTATTGATGCTAATACTAATACAAATACATTTCTGTACATTCATGCAAGAATAAACGTGAAAAATGATTCCACAATGTTGACAAGCACAGTCCAATAATCTAAAGTTCCTACAAACAGTACATTTTCTTTGTGTTTTTCTTTTTTCTTTTTTTCCCTTCAGGGTTTAATACTACTATTTTTTATTTTTTAAAAAGTTTTATCAAAATTAATTAGCACTTAATTACACCATCATGACACAATACACCAACCAAACACTCAACCAATTATTCATCCTAACCTCTCCTATTTATTAACAATTGCTCCACTAATCTATTATTTCATTCCTCTTAATTTTTGGATTCAAATTATCACTCAAAATCACATTTATTATAATCAATTGCCATTTAACTATAGTATTCCAACCTGATTAAACAGAATTAAACACCTTTAAGATAATTAAGCATCCCTATTATTACCAGATTTTGTCTTTTAAGTACACATATTAACACTTTCTTATCCACCGCTAGTTTGCAGCAAGAAGGGAAGATATATTTAGTTTTCCTAGCAATTTCTTAAGACCCTTTTACTAATCCTTAATTTAGAAATTCAAATTATCACTCAAAATCCTCTTAAGTAATTGTTAAAAATAATTACAACTTAACCATAATATTTTAACATAAATAAACATAATTAAACATATTTAGGCAATTTAGCATCCCTATTATTACCACACCTTTAAACTTTAAATTACACCTAATAACGCTTTCTTAATCACCACTATTATACAGCAAAAAAGTTTTTAAGGTCATTTTTCCCCAACTAGGCCTATATCAGAAGAAAACGGATCATTCCACCTCCTTATATAATTTTTTTTCCCTCCGACACATCTGTAATCTATTTTTCTGACACAGCATTTCTACATGCCTTCTTCCTTTATGTGTGCACTGGTTTCCTGGTCTCCCCCCTCTGGCTCTCACAAACTTTATTTCCCACATTTCATTATCCCTTTTAAATTTCCAAGCCCGTGATTTTTTCCTTTTTGTTCTCCTACACAACATTTCTACATGCCTTCTTCCTTTATGTGTGTACTGGTTTCCTGGTCTCCCCCCCTCTGGCTCTCACAAACTTTATTTCCCACATTTCATTATCCCTTTTAAATTTCCAAGCCCATGCTTTTTTTCTTTTCACTCTACTTCCTTCTTTTTCATTTTTCAATCGTTGTCCATTTTCTTTTAACAGTTCTAACTTTACACCAGATGATTTTTTCTTCTTCTTTCTCACTGTTTTGGTCAAGGGGTATTGAATTACTACACAGTCTTTCTCCTGTAGCACTACTGGGTTTTCTGCCACACAATAACCACCTTTCTCCTTCTGCTGATCGTCTAAGGTTTCAGTTAAAGTGGGTTGCTCCTGCTGTTTCTTTGTCTCAGTTTCTACTTGAATGTGATATATTTTTCTTAGGTTAGCACATGCTTCCTCGCATCCTTTTTGAATCCCCTCTTTCATAACTCTAATAAACTGTTCAATCGTCATCTCGCCCACCTCCATGTTTTCATCCATCTCCTCCTCCATCCTCAGTGCAAACGCCATTTTATTCAGCCTCTTAACTTCCTTCAAAGTCAAAGTCAACACTCTAAATAGCCAACAAGCCCTCAGCCATCCATTGTCCTTTATAAATCCTTTCCTATAAACAGAGAGGGGGAAAAATACGTCAACTATAACTCGTCTTTTCCCCGAAAAAACAAGACACTTAAAGACGTAAAGTCCTCTCCCACATGCCACCTGGCCGCTATCCTTCTCAGTTCTATGCAGACTTGGTTGGGGTAATTTTTATATTTTTCCTCTCTGCATCCAACTCCGAAGACAGTCTTGCTCCAACACCTGTTTTATAAGGCTTCTTCAGAGCAGAATACCCAATGAATCCTTTCCTAAGCATCCATCTCTGCATGCTCGCTTTCTGCATAATGCTCACAGTGAAATCTTCTCTTATCCAGTTT